GATTTAATGTAAACGGCCCCTATATATCTTTCGATTTGCACGAAATTTGGTACAGCTTAATCATTTAGGTCTAGAATGATGTCTGCCAAGTTTCGTGAAAATCGGTCCAGATTTAGATATAGCTCCCATATATAGTTTCGTCCGATTTCATGTATATGGTGCCCCAAAGTTCCTATATATCTTTTGATTTGCACGAAATTTGGTATAACGTACTGAATTAAGCCTAGAGTGATGTCTGCCAAGTTTGGAGAAAATCGGTCCAGATTTAGATATAGCTCCCATATATAGTTTCGTCCGATTTCATGTAAAAGGTGCCCCAAAGTCCCTATATATCTTTCGATTTGCGCGAAATTTGGCATAACGTACTGAATTGAGCTTAGAATGATGTCTAACAAGTTTGGAGAAAATCGGTCCAGATTTAGATTTAGCTCCAATATATAGTTTCGTACGATTTCATGTAAATGGTGCCCCAAAGTCCGTATATATCTTTTGATTTGCACGAAATTTGGCATAACGTACTGAATCAAGCCTAGAGTGATGTCTGCCAAGTTTGGAGAAAATCGGTCCAGATTTAGATATAGCTCCCATATATAGTTTCGTCCGATTTCATGTAAATGGTGCCTCAAAGTCCCTATATAACTTTCGATTTGCACGAAATTTGGCATAACGTACTGAATTAAGCCTAGAGTGATGTCTGCCAAGTTTGGAGAAAATCGGTCCAAATTTAGATATAGCTCCCATATATAGTTTCGTCCGATTTCATGTAAATGGTGCCTCAAAGTCCCTATATAACTTTCGATTTGCACGAAATTTGGCATAACGTACTGAATTGAGCCTGGAATGATGTCTACCAAGTTTCGAGAAAATCGGTCCAGATTTAGATATAGCTCCCATATATAGTTTCGTACGATTTCATGTAAATGGTGCCCCAAAGTCCCTATATATCTTTTGATTTGCACGAAATTTGGCATAACGTACTGAATTAAGCCTAGAGTGATGTCTGCCAAGTTTGGAGAAAATCGGTCCAGATTTAGATATAGCTCCCATATATAGTTTCGTCCGATTTCATGTAAATGGTGCCTCAAAGTCCCTATATAACTTTCGATTTGCACGAAATTTGGCATAACGCACTGAATTGAGCCTAGAATGATGTCTACCAAGTTTCGAGAAAATCGGCCCAGATTTAGATATAGCTCCCACATATAGTTTCGTACGATTTCATGTAAATGGTGCCCCAAAGTCCCTACATAACTTTCGATTTGCACGAAATTTGTCATAACGTACTGAATTGAGCCTAGAATGATGTCTGCCAAGTTTCGTGAAAATCGGTCCAGATTTAGATATAGCTCCCTTTTATTATAGATTGATTTTAAGTAATTGACGTACTAAGGAACCAATAGAAACAAAACGTTCTGAAATTAGTATAACCTATCCTGTGACAAGTTTGTTTGAAATCGCTTAATATTTGGATAGAGCTTCCATATATATTTTCGACCGATTTCAAGTAAATTGGGCATCAGACTCCTCATGTTAGTCAGATTGACATCAAATTGTGCACAACGCACAAAATTGAGCATACAATTACGTAGTTGCGTTTTCTAGAAGTACAGACATAGCCCAACGGACTTATTTATATTTGTTTGAAGTCGATTAACATACTTTATGGATAGATCTAGGTAGATTCACATTTAGATAAATATTACTTTTTTTCATCCAATTACATGTTAATAGTCCTGTTTAATATACCCATAGTGGTGAAGGGTATCATATAGTCGGCCCCGTCCGACTTTACTACTTTCCTTACTGGTTTCTTCTTCAAAATATTTTCAAACGTATTTTCATTTCAGCATATTTCAGAGAATATCCAGATTTCCATTTTAGCCAACCCACACCTGGCTGTGTGAAATTATCCGAGGGTCTATAGACACCAGTTAGATGGCTTGACAAAAAAGAAATGGAAATTATTTTCATCATCTTCCACACAAAATATGGAAAATATTTTCCACAAAAAATACCTTTCATAACACACGGCATACCACCATGCCCCCTTCCAGCGTGTGGCACAATTACTACCAGTATCATTCCATTGATCATATGTTGAGAAATTTCTGCCCTGATGTACGCGCAAAGCATCTCCAGCATCACCACTATATGCTCCGAGCAATTTAAGGCTGTAGAACTCCTTTTCACTGCCAATCTTAAAATAATCATAGAAGGCATAACGCATCTCATCATTCCAATCTTTGAGAATTATCAACAATTCCTGAGTTGAGTTATTGGTCAGCGCATGCAGCCTGTCGAGACCAATGAAAAATTCTCCATGTGTGGCATTGCCAAAACCCCTTTTGTATTCCGACCAGTTGCGATAAAAATTCTCCGAACCATCTTGTCGCCGCAATATGCTGGTCCAGGGATTTTGTGATGATTTACTGGAATGTTCCAATGATTCGATACGATTTTCTAGATTTCCCAACTGCAGGCGTAGTTTTTCATTATCTCTGGAAAGAGCATCAAGTTTTGAGAATAGGATTTTCCACACAGCAATCATATCCTCTTCATCGGGAGAAATCTGAAACAACAAATTTGAAAATATTTTTTCCAAAAAAAATCGATTTATATTTACGCCATAATGATCCACTTTAGTACCGTAGATCGTCGGAAACCCGACAAGAATTACCAACCAAAAATGTTTCATCTTCCGTGAGAGATAGCTAACGATTGACTGAATTGTATATTTTTTTTAATTTTATAAATATTTATTAATAATGATAAGGGATTAAAAACATATATACATACAAATATATTTAATAGTATTTTAAAGATCGATTTAATTGTTCATAACCTACAAATAGGTGTGGATTATAGAATCATATCACTGTTTTGACCTTTGGTCGTAACCCTGATAAGAAATTTAATTATTTTTTTATACCCTTCACCACACTGTGGTACAGGGTATTATGTCTTTGTGCATATGTTTGTAACAGGCAAAAATAATCGAGATAGACCCATGGTTCCTTTTGAGAATATACATAGAATCACTTTCTAAGTCGATTTATGCATGTCCGTCCGTCCGTCTGTCTGTCCATGTTAAATTGTAAACAAAGTACAGGTCGCATTATGATCCGAATTGGATGAAATTTGGCATAGGTCACTTATTCGGCCCAAGGACGAACCCTATTGAAATTGGGAAAAATCGGTTCAGATTTAGATATAGCTCCCATATATATATTTAACCGATTTAATGTAAACGGTCCCTATATATCTTTCGATTTGCACGAAATTTGGTACAGCCTAATCATTTAGGTCTAGAATGATGTCTGCCAAGTTTCGAGAAAATCGGTCCAGATTTAGATATAGCTCCCATATATAGTTTCGTCCGATTTCATGTAAATGGTGCCCCAAAATCCCTATATATGATTCGATTTGCACGAACTTTGGCATAACGTATTGAATTAAGCCTAGAGTGATGTCTGCCAAGTTTCGAGAAAATCGGTCCAGATTTAGATATAGCTCCCATATATAGTTTCGTCCGATTTCATATAAATGGAGCCCCAAAGTCCCTATATATCTTTCGATTTGCCCGAAATTTGGCATAACGTACTAAATTGAGCCTAGAATGATGTCTGCCAAGTTTCGTGAAAATCGGTCCAGATTTAAATATAGCTCCCATATATAGTTTCGTCCGATTTCATGTAAATGGTGCCCCAAAATCCCTATATATGATTCGATTTGCACGAACTTTGGCATAACGTATTGAATTAAGCCTAGAGTGATGTCTGCCAAGTTTCGAGAAAATCGGTCCAGATTTAGATATAGCTCCCATATATAGTTTCGTACGATTTCATGTAAATGGTGCACCAAAGTCCCTATATATCTTTCGATTTGCACGAAATTTGGCATAACGTACTGAATTGAGCCTAGAATGATGTCTGCCAAGTTTCGTGAAAATCGGTCCAGATTTAGATATAGCTCCCATATATATGGGAAATGGTGCCCCAAAGTCCCTATATATAATTCGATTTGCACGAAATAAGGATAACGTACCGAATAGAGCCTAGAATGATGTCTACCAAGTTTCGTGAAAATCGCTCCAGATTTAGATATAGCTCCCATATATAGTGTCGTCCGATTACATGTAAATGGTGCACCAAAGTCCCTATATATCCTTCGATTTGCACGAAATTTGGCATAACGTACTGAAATGAGCCTAGAATGATGTCTGCCAAGTTTCGTAAAAATCGGTCCTGATTTAGATATAGCTCCCATATATAGTTTCGTCCGATTTTATGTAAATGGTGCACCAAAGTCCCTATGTTTCCTTCGATTTGCACGAAATTTGGCATAACGTACTGAAATGAGCCTAGAGTGATGTCTGCCAAGTTTCGAGAAAATCGGTCCAGATTTAGATATAGCTCCCTTTTATTATAAATCGATTTAAGGTAATCGACGCACCAAGGAACCAATAGGCTGATAGGAACAAAACGTTCTGAAATTAGTATAACCTAAGCTGTGACAAGTTTGTTTGAAATCGCTTAATATTTGGATAGAGCTTCCATATATTTTTTCGCCCGATTTCAAGTAAATTGGACATCAAACTCCTCATGTTAGTCAGATTGACATCAAATTTTGCACATCGTACAAAATTGAGCATAGAATAACGTAGTTGCGTTTTCTAGAAGTACAGACATAGCCCAACGGATGACCTATTTATATTTGTTTGAAGTCGATTTACATACTTTATGGATAGATCTAGGTAGATTCACATTTAGATAAATATCACATATTTTATTTCATCCAATTTCATGTTAATAGTCCTGTTTAATATACACATAGTGGTGAAGGGTATCATATAGTCGGCCCCGTCCGACTTTACTACTTTCCTTACTGGTTTTTTTTTTTTTTGCAATCGAAAGAAAAAATCCAATATGATTGCATGCATTTGGAATTTCTGAATTTCAATTCAAAACTTGTTGTTCAGCTTGAAACTAGTCGTAAAAATAATGAAAATTATTTACCTCGTAATAGGGATTCTATATTTTGTGGGACATGGTTTATGTCGAAAACAATCAGGGAATGAGGATTCGGTAAGTGGACATCATGAAAAAATATCTAAAATTTTGGAAAAAAAAATAAAATTTTGAAAAAAAAAATGTTTCAAAAAATGCAAAATAATTAAAAAAATAAATTTTCAAAATCTAGAAATAAAATTTTCTATTTAAATTTAAATATTCTATTGTCCTAAGGATCCCTTGGAATTGATTCAGGACAAGTTAGAACGCCTTTTGAAGAAAACAAAAGGTGTGCGGGATAATCTAGACATTTTGGAAATGAAGTGGGTATATCTATTTTTAGAATCCAAATTTTTTTCACTAATTTGTTGAAAATTTTCTTTTTTCAGAATTGATGAACTTGAGAAAAGGTCAGTTAATGGAAAAAGAAGAAGTGAAAAAAATTTGTGATTTTTAACTCCCCCATTTCCTTTCAGATCAAATGCCCAGCTAGCCCAAATGGCTGAACTGCAGTATGCCAATTGGACCACCATACAAAGACGTCAGGATGGTACGGAAGATTTCTATCGAAACTGGACTGAATATCGTATGGGATTCGGCACTTCCGAAAGGGGTGAATTCTTTATGGGGCTTGAAAAATTACACCAACTAACCTCGGAGAAGCCTCATGAGCTGCTGATAATACTCAAAGATTGGGAAAATGATACCCGTTATGCCCATTACAAAAATTTTCGAATTTCGGAAGAGGAGGGGAAATATGCCATCATCGAATTGGGTGATTATAGTGGCACGGCAGGTGATGGTATGGACTATTATATGGGTCAGAAATTCTCCACCTTTGATAGCGATAATGATGAAGATGCTGAGACCAATTGTGCTGAACTTTATAAAAGTGCCTGGTGGTTTAAAACGTGTGCTTTAAGGTAGGGATTTTGGAAGGTTTGGGGAGGAAATTTTTGGTATTTTGAAATTTAAATATTTTTTTTCAATTTTTTAGCGATTTAAATGGTCCCTATAAAGATGAAGACCATGATACTGAGGATGGTGTTACCTGGAAAGAATGGAAGGGTCTAAATTATTCGCTGAAATTTGTCGAAATGAAAATAAAAGCAAAATATTGAATTGGAAAATAAATTGAAAAAAAAATTAAATAAATTTTTCAATGCCTACACCAAGGTGCGGCTTAAAAAAATCAAAGAATATCCTTAGGCTTGGATTTTTACACCCTTCACCACACTGTGGTACAGGGTATTATGTCTTTGTGCTTATGTTTGTAACAGGCGAAAGGAAACGAGATAGACACATGGTTCCTTTTGAGAATATGCATAGAATTACTTTCTGAGACGATTTATGCATGTCCGTCAGTCCGTCCATCCGTCTGTAGATGTTAAATTGTGAACAAGGTACAGGTCGCATTTCTGATCCGATTTGGATTAAATTTGGCACAGGTCACTTATTTGGCTCAAGGATGAACCCTATTGAAATTGGGAAAAATCGGTTCAGATTTAGATATAGCTCCCATATATATTTTTGTCCGAATGGTGCACCAAAGTCCCTATATATCCTTCGATTTGCCCGAAATTTAATTTAATTTTTAAGTCTAGAAATATGTGTGTTAAATTTCGTGAAAATCGGTTCAGATTAAGATACAGCTCCCATATGTCTTTTCTTCCGATTTTATGTAAATGGTGTACCAAATTCCCTATATATCTTTCGATTTGCACAAAATTTGGCACAGCGTACTGAATAAAGTTTAGAATGATGTGTGTTAAGTTTCGTGAAAATCGGCTCAGATTTAGATATAGCTCCCATATATAGTTTCGCCGGATTTAAGGTAAGTAGTGCACCAAAGTCCCTATATATCTTTCGAAATTTGGCATAACGTACTGGAATGAGCCTAGAGTGATGTCTGCCAAGTTTCGTGATAATCGGTCCAGATTAAGATATAGCTCCCATATATACTTTTGTCCGATTTTATGAAAATGGTGCACCAAAGTCCCTATATATCTTTCGATTTGCATGAAATTTGGCATAGCGTACTGAATTGAGACTAGAATGATGTGTGCTGAGTTTCTTGAATATCGGTTCTGATTTAGATATAGCTCCCATATACATTTTCGTCCGATTTAAGGTAAATGGGGCACCTAAGTCTCTATATATCTTTCGATATGCATGAAATTTGGCACAGCCTACGGAATTGAGTCTAGAGTGATGTCTGCCAAGTTTCGTGATAATCGGTCCAGATTAAGATATAGCTCCCATATATACTTTTGTCCGATTTTATGAAAATGGTGCACCAAAGTCCCTATATATCTTTCGATTTGCATGAAATTTAGCACAACGTACGGAATTAAGTCTAGAGTGATTTGTGTTAAGTTTCGTGAAAATCGGTCCAGATTTAGATATAGCTCCCATATATATTTTCGTCCGATTTTATGTAAATGGTGTACCAAATTCCCTATATATCTTTCGATTTGCACGAAATTTGGCTCAACGTAATAAATTAGGCCGAGAATGATGTGTGTTAAATTTCGTAAAAATCGTTCCAGATTTAGATATAGCTCTCAAATATATTTTCGTCCGATTTTTTGTAAATGGTGCACCAAAGTCCCTATATATCTATCGATTTACACGAAATTTGGCACAGGGTACTAAATTTGGTGTAGAATGATGTGTGCTAAGTTTCATGAAAATCGGTGCAGATTTCGATATAGCTCCCACATATATTTTCGTCCGATTTTATGTAATTGGTGCAGCAAAGTCCCTATATATCTTTCGATTTGCACTAAATTTGGCACAGCGTAATATATAAGGTCTAGAATGATGTGTGTGAAGATTCGTGAAAATCGGTTCAGATTTAGATATAGCTCTCATATATATTTTCGCCCGATATAAGGTAAATGGTGTACCAAAGTCCCTATATATCTTTCGATTTGCACGAAATTTGGCACAGCGTACTGAATTGAGACTAGAATGATGTGTGCTGAGTTTCTTAAAAATCGGTTCAGATTTAGATATAGCTCCCATATATATTTTCGTCCGATTTTATGAAAATGGTGCACCAAAGTCCCTATATATCTTTCGATTTGCATGAAATTTAGCACAACGTACGGAATTAAGTCTAGAGTGATTTGTGTTAAGTTTCTTGAAAATTGGTTCAGATTTAGATATAGCTCCCATATATATTTTCGTCCGATTTAATGCAAATGTTGCACCAAAGTCTTTATATATCTTACGATTTGCACTAAATTTGGCACAGCGTAATATATAAGGTCTAGAATGATGTGTGTGAAGTTTCGTGAAAATCGGTTCAGATTTAGATATAGCTCTCATATATATTTTCGCCCGATATAAGGTAAATGGTGTACCAAAGTCCCTATATATCTTTCGATTTGCATGAAATCTGGCTGGATGTAGAATGACGTGTGCCAAGAAAATCGGTTCAGATTTATATAAAGCTCCCATATATATTTATTTATAATTTATTTTAATTTTCCAAATTATTTTTATTGTTTAAGCATATACCCCCGTCTCCAAAGGCTGCACCTCACGATTAACTACCTCACCATTTGGCATGGTACACAGGAAATTCATACGGCAACAATCCGGATAGGGTTTGTGTAAATTCATCGGATCCAAAATACGACAATCACGCATATTATAATGGCCGCAACTGGAAAGAGACAAAATATTTTTACAAATTTTGATTTTTTTTTTTTTTTTTTTTTGAATACTAAATTTTTGATTATTTTTTTTAATTTTTGATGTTTTTTTTATTTTGTAAAAAAAAATTGTTGAAAGATTTTTTTTTAATTTTCTTTTTTTTTTTTTGAAATTTTTTTTCTTTCGAAAATACCCTGCTGCCTTACCCTTGCACCAATATCGAACCATCTTCATTACAGCGTAAATTTTGGCATGAGTTCATCATGTTATTATCACCGCGCTTTAGCATTACACCATGATACATACAAACGCCAGGCATATTTTGTTCTAGAGAGAGAGGGGGGAGAGAAGAGAAAAAAATTATGTGAAAGATTTCTCCTTCAGGTCCTCGAGAAAAAAAAATTGTCTTTTCACAACTTACTGGGTGGTATTAAAAAACTATAACCCTGGCAGCTAACTGTCAAGGCAAGAATTACTGCTAGAAATCCAAAAACCTTCATTTTGATGAAATTAAAAATTTTCCCCAAAATTATTCCTCAAATATCGGCAATGTACTGAATACCTAGACAAATCTCCCAAGGTTTTTATACCATTAAAATAAATCAATATCAATATTCGTTTTATATTTTCTTTGACGTTGTTATCTGTTTGGAATTTTTTTCTGTTCATCAAAACATTGAACTTCGTTTGCGGCTGCTGCAAGAAAATATTTACATTTTGTGATTTTTTAGGACCAGTAAATAAAACATAATATTTGTTTCTCTTATGGGTGCAATGAAGTGTAAAGAAAACAATTTCCTAGATTATGATTCATATTTTTGGTAAAAAACAATAACAATTAAATAATTTACGTTTCCTCCTCAGAATAGTCTACGATCCGAAACCTGACCTAAGTCTCACAACAAAAACAACAAATTATCATTCAATACAACCAGAGTCTCACTTCTGTCACCTCAGCCCATTGTGTCAAAGGCAGTAGGGATGCTATAAGAACAAATCATTTTATTTGAATTTAGCGACGCCTGAAAGTATGCTTTAATTTAAGAACATTTTATATCTTCTAAATATATGTGGCTGACATTAAGAATCTTGTTGGTGATTTGCACCAGGGGTGGGGGATTTAACGTAATTCATTAATTTTAATAATTATTCAAATAATAACTGGATTTGTTCGATTATTTACCTTTTTAGCACTTTCTATAATTTTTCTAATATGAACTGTTTTTTTATTTCAATAAAATTCCTTTACAATAGCCGCAAAGGGAGTTGACAATGGTTCTCTCTTATTTCTCTCTTGACATGCCAATTTTTTTCCTCTAAAAAAATAATGTTTTATGCCTATTTTTTAATAATTTTTTAGTATCAGGGGAAGGATAGCAATTATAGATTATTATTTTTATTAAATTTCATAATAAATATTCGTATTTTCCTAATATTTCGATGCTTTCTTTATAACAGGCACAAAGAGAGCCAACGCAAAGCAAGGGGAACAAAGATTTTTTTCTCTATTAAAAAAATAATAGTTAAATCGATTTTATTAGAAATGTATAAGCAAGGAGGATGAGTAATCGAATATACTGTATGATTTTTATCAAATTTTATTAAAATTATTGGTAATTTTTATTAATATTTTAATTTAATGTGAGTCACACAGTGTCAAAATTGATTCTCTTATCTCTTTCCCGCCAAACAAAAATGTTTCTATATAAAAACACAAATTTAGGCTTTAATATTACAAAAATAATAACAAAGGGGGAAGAGGGTAAAATATGCTGTATAATATTTTTAATTGTCTATTATAATTATTGTTATTTTATAATAATATTTGAATTTAAAGTTGACACAAAGGGCCGATATTGGCTCTCTTATCTCTTTCCCGCCCAACAAACAAATTTCTAAATAAAAACATATTTTTTTGGGAATAATTTTACAAATTTAATAACAAAAGGTGTTGAGTAACAATTATACTACATAATTTTGTTATTATTCTATTGATTATATTGTTAATTTTTAATAATATTTTAATTTAAAGTAGCCAGCCGGTGTCTATATAACTCTCTCTTACTTCCCATTTGACAGCAAATATTTTCTTAATACAAAACACACTTTTTGGCTATTATATTAACATTTTAATAACAAAGTGTATAGAGGAACAAATATATTGCATAATTTTGCTACTATTCAATTATATTTATTGTTATTTTTTAATAATATTTTAATTTAAAATAGCCAGCCGGCGTGTATATTACTCTCTCTTACTTCTCTTTGATAAGCAAATATTTTCTTAATACAAAACACATTCTTTGGCTATTATATTAAAATTTTAATAACAAAGAGGATAGAAGAATAAATATATTCCAAAATTTTACTAATTTTCAATTACAGTTATTGTTATTTTATCATAAAATTGTAATTTAAAGCAGCCAGCCGGTGTCTATATTACTCTCTCTTAATTCTCTTTTGTCGGGCAAATATTTTCTTAATAGAAAACACATTCCTTTTCTATTATATTAAAATTTGAATATCAAAATGGATAGAGGAAGAAATATATTTCACAATTTTTCTACTATTTTACTATATTTATTGTTATTTTTTAATAATATTGTAATTTAAAACAGTCCCACAGTATCAACATTGGCTCTCTTATCTTTTTAATGATAAACAAAATATTTTCTAAATAGGCTTTTAGGCTTTAATATTAAAAAATTATAAGCAAAAAGGAAAGAGGATAAAATATATTGCATAATATTGCTACTATTTAATTATATTTATTTCTTATTTTTAATAATATTTCAATTTAAAGCAGCCGGCGTCTATATAACCCTCTCTTACTTCTCTTCAAGCAGGCAAATATTTTCTAAATAAAAAAACATAGTTTTTGGCTATTATATTAAAACTTAAATAAGAAGGAGAATAAAGAAACAAATATATTGCATAATTTTGCTACTATTCTATTATATTTATTATGTTTTTTAATAATAATTTAATCTAAAGCAGACACCCAATGTGTGGACGTTGACTCTCTTATTTCTCTTCCTGAAGGCAAATGTTTTCTTAATAAAAACGCATTTGTAGGCTATAAAATAAATAAGTTTATATCAAGGGGAACATTTAATATTCTATTATTTTGATCAAATTTTATAATCTTTATTGTTATCATTAAAAAATATTTCAATTTGAAAAACTTGACATTGACTCTCTTATATCTTTACAACCAAGTAAACATTTTCAAAGTAAAATAGAATTTTTTGACAATAATTTCAATAAATTTATATAAGAGACGAAAGTGAATGTAATATTCTTCATGATTTTAATCAATTTTTTAATAACTTATATTATTTAATTATAATATTTTAATATAAAACAGCCACAGCCATCGACATTAACTCTCTGAACTCTCTTCCGACAGGAAAATATATTTCTAAATAAAAATACAATTTTGGCTGATAATATTAACAATTATATATCAATTGGGATAGAGAACTTTCTATTCTTCATTATTTTTATCAAATTTTATTATAATACTTGATATTTCAAAATTTAATTTAAAACAGCCAGTCGGAGTCGGCATTGTCTCTCTTATGTCTTTCCCGCCAAATAGATATGTTCTAATGTAAAACACATTTTTTGACAAAAATGTCAATAAATTCATAACATAGACGAAAGTGAATCTAATATTCTTCATTAATTTATTAATTTTTTTAATAATTGTTATTATTTCTTAATAATATTTTAATTTACAACAGCCACAGAATATCAAAAGCGACTCTTTTTATCTATTCCGACAGGAAAATATATTTCTAAATAAAAATACAATTTTGGATGATAATATTAAAAATTATATATCAAGAGGGATAGTGCATTGTATATTCTTCATTATTTTTATTATAATTTTATATAATACGATATTTCAAAACAATATCTTTAATTAAAAACAGACAATCGATGTCGGCATTGCCTCTCTTATGTCTTTCCTGCCAAATTAATATTTTCTAAAGTAAAATACAATTGTTGACAATAATTTCAATAAATTTATATCGCAGACGAAAGTGAATCTAATATTTTTCATTATTATTATTCATTTATTTAATAATTTTTATTATTTCTTAATAATATTTTAATTTACAACAGGCACACAATGTCAATAGCGGCTCTCTTAACTCTCTTCCTGCTGTTGAATATTTATTTAATAAAAAATACGGGTTTTTAACAAGTTTTTTAAGAAAAATTAGCAAAAAGGGATAGGGAATCAAATATACTACTTTATATCTCTTAAATTTTATAATAAGTAGTGTTATTTTTTATAAAATAATTTATTTTCTTTGCAAGCTACACAAAGAACTGAGAACTGACTTTGACTCTCTTTTCTTATTACCGCCTTGAAATAGTTTGTAAAAACTACAATTTTATCAAATTTTTTAAAGAATTTTTTTACCAAAGAATGAATAGGGATTAATATTAACTATTATTTTTATTGAAATTGTTACTCATTATTATTTTCAAATAATATTTCATTGTTTTATTTCTCTTCCTGCAGTTAAATATTTATTATACAAAAAATACAACTTTTGAACAACTATATTAAAAAAGTATTTGCTATAGTGGTAGGAAATCAAATATACTGTTTTATTTCTATTAAATTTTATTGTAAATACTGTTATTTTTAATTTATTTCCAAGCGGAACAAAGAGAATTGGCATTGCTTCTCAATGGTAACTCTCTTTTCTCTATAAAAACTATTTTTTTTAATATAATATATTATTAAAACATTTATTAACCAAATATGTAGAGGACATTATATTCAACAATTATTTATAACATTTTATTTAAAAAATACTAAAAATAACATTTATTTCTTATTTTAATAAGCAACAGAGAAACGAAGAGTTTCTATGACAAATGAAATCTTGACCAAATATAATTTTCTTAATTAAAAAGTAGTTTTTAGCA